ATTGTCGGCCAAAACGCCTCACATCCCTATCTCACGCCCTATCTCAACTTTCGATTCACTATTTACTGATATTTAATGGGAACAGATATAGGGTGGTTCAAGATTCAGAATTCTGATCACCCTGTATCTGTTCCGATTAAATATCAGTAAAAATTGAATCAAAAGTTGAGATAGGGACATGTGAGCCGTTTTGACAGATAATGAATAGTTTTGACACAAACAAATCCTGAAGTTGAAAAATCTATATTTTGAACACCCTATATCTCTGTTATCTTTTTCGATAGACCTTAGATGTGATATATCGATAAAATTAGCTCTTCAGGGAGAATCTAAAAATGCGATAAAATACAGGGTGTTCTATTTGAAATATCAATGTTGCTACTACCTTCTAGTAGAAGCGGCAACACTGCATAGTCGAAACTATTTCAAATGAATAGAGCATATTCTAAAATATAAGCATGCATATTTTCATGGATTTCTCCCGACTGATTCTCCATATAAAAATAGTGTAAGCTTGTCATGACATACCCTGTATATCTTTGAATAACATCAAGAAAAATTGAAACTCATTCGGCGAATTTCGTTTTTTCAAGCATATCTCCGGAACTACTGTAAATTTCAAAACTTTCTGAACAGCATTTGGGAGACTTGAGAATGGGAAACTTTTCTCTAATTTAACCATCTTCCTATCTCTTATGGTTTCAGAGGTCCCCATGATAAACATCTTGGACACCCTGTATACTTTTTAAATCACTTGTGTCTTCTCTCAAAAAGATGATATCAAGAACCAATGTGTTATGAAGCAACAGAAAGGGGCCACACTTCAAACCGAAATATGATGAAGCAGAAAATTGGGTCAAATAAAAAAATAGAGCTGATGGTTTCTCCAAAACAAAATGTACAGCTTGGAAAATGGGAATGAGAAAGTGTCTTGTTTTCCTATATGCATATCTTTGAATAACATGAAAATATTGAAATTAATTCAGCAAATTTCAGTTTTTAAAGCATATCTCTGGAACTACTGTAAATTTCAAAACTTTCTGTACAGCATATTGTAAGACTTGAAAATGTCAACTTTTCTCTAATTTAACTATCTTCCTATCTCTTATGGTTTCAGAGATCCCTATGATAAACATCTTGGACACCCTTTATACTTGTTTTCCTATATGTATATCTTTGAATAATGTAAAAATATTAAAATTAATTCAGCAAACTTTGGTTTTCAATGCATATCTCCAGAACTACTGTAAATTTTGAAACTTTCTGAACAGCATTTTGTTAGACATCTTGAACACACTATTTTTTTAAATCACTTGTGTCTTCTCAGAAAGAGATATCAAGAACCAAGGAATAGAAAAGGATCACACTTCAAACCAAAATATGATGGTGGAAGGTTGGAGAATGGTTCTGAATTTTTGTTGGTAAACAATAAAAAATTCCATAATTTCTTAAAACACTTGTAACTTCTCTTAAAAAAAATATAGATTGAAGTGAATCAAAAACTATTTTGTTTAGGACCACACAATCCAAAACTTAATGAAGCTAAGCTCAACCAATCACCTTTGCCACAGGGAGTTTAGAAGTCAAGAGTGAAAGATTTATTTTTTCCTGTACAATGATCCAAGTCATCACCTTTTTCGAAGAGTTAAAATTCACGCCAACACTCCCAAAATAAATCTATGCTTTGGTCAAACTTTTACCAGAATCAGACAAGAATTGAAAAAGTTACAGTGCAACCAACTAGGCTGAATTTTTGCTGGCCAGTTTTTTTTGCCAGTGAGTATACATCATCAGTGAGTGAAGCAGTGAATGAAAATCAGTCACTGAAAGACAGAGAGCCGGCTCACTTATTCAGCCATGGCTGCTTCAGACAATCTGCTGCAGTGGCACGCTTCTCAGGATCAAAATCCAACATGGGTCTCAGGAATGCTGCAAAATCCTCTGCCTCCTCTCTAGCCCAATCATACTTCTCAGTTAAAACATCTTCCATCGCCCAAGGCTTAAGACCAGTGATATGGCGCAGCTCGTTCTTCTTATTAAAGAACAATTTAGAGCATTTGCCACTTTGAGCTATGCGTCTGGGTATGTTCCCAAGCAGCTCAATGATGTGGGCCAAGTGGTCTTCGTCTCTGCAATAATCTTCCCCAGAGTGGGGCTCAAAGAGGTAGTCTCCTGTAGCTAGTTCAAATGCCATGCAAGCAGTGCTCCAAATGTCTGCAGAGGTGTTATAGCCTGCTCCCAGCAACACCTCCAGAGATCTGTATTGTCTAGTTTGAATGTCTTCTGTGAAATGTTTATCCACCCAGCAGGCATTACCCAAATCAGCTATCTTAACTTCGAAATCACATTCTACAAAGGCAGGGTCTAGTTCAATTTTATTCTCACTCTTGTCATTCGAGGAGGGTGAATCGTCCTCAGATATATGCATCATTTGCTCTACCACAGTTTCTCCACCCCCAATTTCCTCTACACAGCCATTGGGCAATTTATCCTCAGTTTCTGGGGTGGTTTCTGGACTGGGGCTAGGACAATGGCACTCTGGATCACCATTGATGACATCTCCATTTTCGTGCACTTTCTTTTGCTCCTCTATTTCTATGATCTGCTCCATTTGACGCTTGAGCAGTTCATTCTGTCTCTTGGCTTTCTTCTTCAGTTTCTTCTTTTTGTTCTTGCTCATCTTGGTCTGTTGAGATTCCATGATGGGGGCAGTGCTGACAAGTGAGGTGGGTAGTTTCATGCCCAGCTGATGCATTTCAGCTGCCTCACAAGCTAGTCTGCGAATGGCTTCTTCATTAATGCAAATCAGGACATTTTCAGGTTTGATGTCAGTGTGGATGATTTTACATTTGCTGTGCAAGTAGTCTAAACCTTCTAGAACCTGTTTCATGATAGTACGCACATTTGCTAAGGGAATTCCACGATAATTGGACTTGATGATCAACTTCAACAAGTGGTGTCCCAAAACTTCAAAGACCATACAAACATGAACACCATTCACTCCACTTATCTTGAAATCATTCAAGAGCTGAACAGTTTTGTTGCGTTTGGGATCAGAAGGATCAGATTCTCTCACTGCCTTCAGGATTTTGACTTCATCCATTGCAGTTTCAGTAAAGTGACCAGCAGACTTTACAATTTTCAGAGCAACGAACCTTTTATCTTCCAAATCCCAGCAAAGCCATACAGTGGAAAAATGGCCCCAACCTAATTTTCTCGTTACATGGTATCTACCCAAAAACAGGTCACCAATTTTGACAGGATGGTAACCTCCTTTGCGATAATCGGTGCTATCTTCTTGTTCCTCTTCTTCACTGGTATATGGGTCATCAGGATCTTCAATGGTTTCATTACTGGAACTATGCGATGGTTCGTTTTTCGAATTATGTCGATTTTCTCCACCATGACCATTCATATCGTTTTTTCCTTTTTTTTTGCCAGGCTTGTGTCTCTTCTTCTTTGCCTGAATGGCCAAGACACGTCTGTTTACGTCCAATTTTGCGCTCATTTGTATAACTCTTCTGGATAATTAAAAGCACAAAAACTATGTATAAATTAATGTCAAATGACCATAATTTCCTAGAAAACACCTTTGTTGATTATGGAATATGGATTATGATGGCCGTCTCTCAGTAACACAGAACAAGAAACGGCTATCGGCATGGTAAACTGCAGAGAACACCAGAAAAGAAACCGGTAAACATCACAGAACCACAATCTGTTGAACATCTCTCTGTTAAGCATGGTTCACATGCAAACATTGCGCGTTTTTTCTATTGAAAGCTCTCTACTGTGTATAAACTAAAGGTGAGTTCCCAATGCAGCTTTTTTGCTTCTCGCCTCACGCGCCACGCATTATGATTGGTGACGCGTAAATGAGCATTGCTGCACTCTTTTTTACTGTTTACTTCAGTTCCCAACTTTGTTCCCAATGAATTTACATATCATTGTCGATGTGGTTGAAGTTTGCATCGGAAAATCATGAGAATATCTGAGAATACTGAAAATATAGGATAATGCTTGCAAGATACAGAGCTGCATCACATAAATAATTCATCATAAACGGAAATTGCATAGTGAAAATGTGATGATTGGGTAGGTACTTACTTCAGTGATACTGCAATGATTTACTCATCATCAGATCACTTTCAGAAATGAGGGTTTAATGAAGTTGCATTCGAAATTTCAACGCATTTTTATGCAAAATCTTGTATTGAAAGAATTTATATTGCTTCAATGAATATTGACGTTTCTGGAACATAACCTCAACACAACACAAAGCAGCAACGCCAAAAAGTTAGAATATTTTAACTTCATCGCGTCAAATATTTTTCAAATTCAGCGTCACCAATCAGGTTGCATGACGCGCGACGCGTAAAGCAAAAACGCTGCATTGAGAACTCACCTTAAGGGTGAAAAAATTTGAAAACTGAATATATTCAAAAACTATATAAAATTTCTTTCGTGGGTTCCAAGAGATAAAAGAAAAGGAGATACATTATCAGAACGATTTCGAACCACTGTTCTTCTTACCAGTTCAATTTACTAAATTAAAATCAATATTTTTACTATCTTGTTCTTGTTTTCCAGTACAGATATTCCGGGTCTTCCTATATCAACGGAATGTATTCAACCTTTATGACGAAAATGTTCTTATAGTTTGTTGAATTTAATCACATAGGTATTTGAAGAATTGGTATATCTCAGGTATATCCAACTTTGACATTACTTGGGACTTTGATCATCCTGTATGATCTAAGGGACTTTTAATAAGGAATACAATATTGACTTAGGCGTTTAGTTATTTTTCCTTAAACCTTAAATTTGTACAGTGCATTACATATTTACAACATAATGAAAATGTGAATCTAATATTTATAAGGATAAACCCTATGATGAAAAAATCTACAGTTTTCAAATCTATACATATTATGCTAATCATAGCACCATCACATTTATGGAACATTCTAGTAATCACCAAAAAAAAATTGTTCAAGTAGTTACAAAGTAGCTAATATTCTTGTGAATCCCATGCAACCAGTTAAAATAGTTTGACCACATCCCCAAAAAAGAGCATACAATGGATTCATTGGTAAACTAGATGCTCTGTAGACAAAAGCAACTGCAGCACTGCTAACAATCCCTGTTACAGCTGGAGTAATCACCCCCATGAGAAGTATTGCAATTGGAAAAAATTTGCCAAATTTATGCTTTCTCAATGTGAGAAATGCAATAAGTCCAGCAATCTGAAAGAAATACATTCAGTAGAAAATTAGAACTGGCTGAAAAGGCTATAAAATACAGAATTAAAATGTTTGAAAAACACTCACTGTATGGACTAATATTGAAGAAAATAAGGCCCACAAGAAGACGTGATACCACATCTTCATGAAGGTGTTGAGTGCATCAGCCTGTTGAAGCCAGAGCACTGTTCCAACAGAATCTAATTCATAGTTTTTAGACATTTTCAGTACCGATCTGTAGTCCTTTTCTATGTAACATTGTCGACACCGATGCTGAATTCGTCCATCCTCAAAACGATTTTCAATGGACGGTCTAGGACTTCTAGCTTCTAGGAGACCCAAGACAAAAATTGGAAATTATATTTTGAATTTGAAGGTATTTGTATTGTGAGTATAGACTTTGTATCCTTACCCTATCAAAGTATTTGCGAAACTGATGTAAAATTCCTCATTACAAAGCTGACAATTAATTCAAAAATTTTAAAATAATATATTTATGTTGTTGTTTGTTTTGTTGGCCTTATCAGTATCATTTTTGAAATATTGACTGAAAAGTGACAATTGACTGAACAATCAATGACAAATTGGCAAATGTCAAATTATTCACTGCAATACACAGAGCAAAAGCATCAGATGAAATACACAGAATGAAGATGAAACCAATGACGGCTAAAAATCTGGACTGTCGGATAACCCGTCAGACAGTCCAGATATTTAGCCGTCATTGTTGAAACACTCAGTGCAAACTTGTACCAGTGGAGGTCTGTTCATTTGTGTTGCTGAACTTGCTAAAGTTGATTTTGTTCCAATAGTTTTATCTGTTCATAGCATAATTTGAAAAAAGAAAGTCATATAGAAAAATCAAGTCTAGCAGGTAGAGCAAACACAAACGAACAACATTGGAACTTGCCATTAGTGACGTAAAATCGTGACAGTGAGCAGTGAGTGACATAGTAATGTCAATGTCAGTAATCCACTCTCATTTGAAGGTTAGGTTTCGCTTTATCGCCTTTAAAATCCTAAAAAAACTTAACCAGGAATCAATAATGAATGTGGATGAATTACCTGACGAAAGTGATAGTAGCGATGAAGATTATGATCCTGGAAAACAGGAGGATGCCCCATCAGAAGTGGACTCGGATGGAGAACCAGAAGATATTTTATCAGGTTCTGAAGAAACCATCGAGAATGGATCCAATAAGACAAGACGAAAGAAAAATAAGAAACAGAATAGAGTGAAATCAAATAAACGCGGAAGTGAGGGAACAGGTGAGTCCCAGATGAAAAGCACTAAACTTATGGAATACTCCAACTATAATAACTTGATCAAAATAAATGTGTTGTGAGTCTAATTTCAGTTGTTTTACAGGTAGTGAAGAAGTTCATCAGAATAAAGAAAGTGTGGAGGAACAAAAGCAAAATATTGATGATATTTGGGCAGATTTCATGAAGGATACAGGTTTCAAATCAAAAAATAATACAAACCCAACAGAACCTGAAACCCCAAAAAGTAAATTAAATGAACCAAAAAGTGGACCCCAAAAATCAGTAGATGAAATCAATAATAAACCTTCAGAAAAAGTAAAAATCACTCAGGTGTTTGAATTTGCTGGTGAAGAAGTGAAGGTTGTGAAAGAAGTGGCAGTAGATTCAGCTGAGGCAAGATTGTTAGCAACTAGTACTGATGAAATACCCAAATCTAGTAAAGGCAAGAGGAATATAGGGCTAAGTGGAATAGGAAATGTATTGAGTCAGCTAACAAAAAAACCCAAAATCAGTACATTGGAAAAAACCAAATTAGATTGGGATAACTTCAAAAAGGAGAATAATATTGAGGAAGATCTCCAAACTCATAACAAAGGAAAAGATGGGTGAGTACTTTCAATGAGTATATTGAAACCTATTTTTTTAATAACAAAATGTTACAGTTATCTGGAAAGGCAAGATTTCTTGCAAAGGGCAGATCTGAGGAGGTTTGAGATAGAAAAGAATATTCGTTCCATTGAAAGGAGTAAGAGATTCAATAGCACTCTTTAACAATGAAACAATGATAGTGGTTACATTTTCATAATCCAGAAACTTTTTTCTTGTATTTAATTTTACATTCCTGATCTGATATGAATTTGTAAGATTATAATGATGCTAGTTTTATTCTTAAACTTTTCATTCTGATGATTTAGGTTTAGGACTCCTGGATGTATTGATGATTTAATGTGTTCTTTAGTGATATAATAATAAAGATATTAAATTTTGAATAAGTTGTTTGGTTACATTGAAACTCTAGAAATGAAACTGTTTTTGATAATGTTTGAGGTGAAGAATAAATTTCAATAATTGAAAGTTATCCATTAGATTCATATATCTGATATCTCTTATCTGATAATTCTCTGGTGAATTCCAGATAACCCTATCACTATTTTAATGCATATACCTAATTTCTAAAATTTTGTGTACATTATCTTTGCTTTAATTATTGATAATTCAAGTTTTTGCCTTATAGAAATTGAATATTCAGAATCTACTTCGTTCACAATTTGTAATCAGGGCACTTCAGTGAATTTTAATACTCCAAATACATAACAAATGAAGAAATAACAATGTAGACGCCATCACTAGAATGCTCTAAAAGTCAACTCAAGCTAATATATTACCAGCAAATATTTCAAATAATTATGCAATTGTGTTCTCATAAATAGGAAATGGAACAGGACCCAAGACCGTTCCTTGTGGTACCCCAATACAATTTCATCTGCCGATGGTCTATCGTTCTTGGGTCTGGCCTACGAATAATCTACGCCACTGGGCCAAATCCCATGAGTCATGTTCGAATTTTCGATCGATTCTCGGAACTTATTACCATGAGCTAACTGGTGCTATCTAGTGAGAGATTTTTGACTCATTTCAACGCGCCGTGTTCGATTCAGGGCCGGTTTATCAATTACAATTTATCTGTCAGTTAAAGCTTAACTACCAGTTTTTTTGGAAAGGTCGGTTTATCTACACCAGGGTAACTTTATCCGGCAGTTAAAATGTCAAATATTTATCTGTAAGTTTTAACTGGCGGATAGTCGATATCTGGAGGTTAATGCCTATACATAACCTCACTTTATTGAGTTGTTTTGATTTCCTAGCTTTCTGGTGTTACAAAAAAGTTAAAAATGGAGAGTACTAGTAGTTCTACAAAGAAAAGAGGATGCAATTTCACAGCAGATGAGAAAAATTTGCTGATTAAAATAGCGAATCAATACAAACGTGTGATTGAAAATAAAAAAACAGATGGGGCAACCTGGAAATCGAAAGAGGAGGCTTGGGTGCAGGTTGAAGCAGCCTTTAATAGCTGCAGTAGTGGCACTGTAAGAAAGGTTCACAATATCCTCGTCCTCGTCCTCGTCGCTATCCAGAATATAATCATTTAAAAAAAGTCATATTTATCAACAACCAAAAACTCATAAAACAGAAAACAATAACCTAACAAAACGGTTGTGACTACTCGTGATCGGTCGTGATGTGACATGACCTTGTTCTTGTAACAACCAATGAGATTGCTTACATTTATTCATCAGCATTGCCAACTTTCATTATCTGGCAGTTGATTAACTGGAGAATAAAAATGAGTTGATAAACCACTTCCAAACAAACTGGAAGTTTATCTGCTAGATATTTTTATCTGACGGATAACTAACTGATGGATAATATTGGCAATTGATAAACCGACCCTCAATATTATTCAATTTCCAATCCAGTTTGTTCGCGGTGCTGGTTGGGAGAGGACGTATATTGTTGGGCTGTTTGTACATTTAGACATTATTTGTTTATTTTCTTGCTCATTATGCTTTGGTGTGTACTTAGTTTGTTTATTCCGTTGTCGGTTTAATTGGAAATTATTTTGTGATGCCGCAACCGATGGATATCCCTTCCCAGCAGGTACGTGATAATCAATAACTAATTATTTTAGTATAATATTAGCTGTTTAGTGTTTGTACCATCAGAGATTAACCGAATGTCATTTATTGGAAATTTGTATCTATCATACATATACCTACCACAAGGATAGTGAATATTTTATACCTGCTAGATTATATTATATACCTACCTATAGGTACCTACTTACCGAGTTTTCCACCCCAGTTTGTGTCAAATTTTTTCCTATTATGGACTGATATATAGGGTAGGTATAAATGTTTTCTGGATACCCATATACTGTGTAGGTAGGTACCTATAAATTTATCTGTTCGATTTGTATTAGTAGAGTCGTCAGTACCTATATCAAATTCACCTATATCTATGAAATTATCTCGACTGGAACCTCTGGTTATTATTAAAGTACAAATAATAAAATAATATCCGATAATATCTTATCTTATCTATACTATACAGGGTGTCCCATAAACATACCGACAAACTTTGAGGGATGGGAGAGGACATCAAAATGAACATTTTTGCTCGATAAACATAAGTCCGGAAACTCCTCGTTTTCGAGATACAAAAAATGATTAAAAGTCATTAATAATAATTAATGATTAGTAAAAAAAAGTAATTGGAAGTTTCATTAGTTTTTCAATATTTCAATGAACGCATTGGTAAAATGTAAGGTATAATTTTGAAGCATTAAATTTTTTTTTCATAGATGTAAGAGATATGTTTTTTTTTTCTTCAAAACGAAACTGAACGATATTTTTTTGCGCAAAAACTATCCGACATAGCCCGTGGGCACGCCCCTGAAATTATTGGGCAAATTCTAATAGCTCCAAAAGATACCCTATGAATGTATCAATAATCTGTAAAAATTTCATTCCATTCGTTCAAATCGTTTTTACGATATTAATAAAAAATCGATTTAAAAAAAAAAATTAACACCCTGTATCTAGAAAACGAAGAGTTTCCGGACTCATGTTTATCAAGCAAAAATGTTTATTTCGATGTCCTCTACCATCTCTTGAAGTTTGTCGGTATGTTTATGGGACACCCTGTATATATTACGAGATATACGTATTATATATTAGTAGGTATGGCAAAAATAGAGTACCTACAGCAGAGAGGGACAATGGAAGTGGATTAAAATAAAAACACAGTTTCCTATTGGATATTGAAAAAATACAGAAAATGTCAATTTTTGTTAACAAAACATTCAAGAATAAAATCTTGTGGTAACTCATAGCTTTTGGGATATTCAAAGGTGTGAAAAAATGGAATAAAATATTCAGGTCCGTCGATAAAAAAAATAAGTTGATGATGGTTTCTGGAAGACGAAACGTCGGTTTTCGAAGAAAACGCCAACTTTCTAGGGAAGAAAAAGTGGCAATTCGTTATGATTAATTTCTTCAAATAACTTGAAAAAATAAAAAAAAATTAGAAAATATATCGGTATTTTTGCTGCTCGATTTTTCGTATATCTGCGGAAGTATATATTCGGGATTTTTCGAGGGATTTTTCAAGTTTCCACTCGAAATGGTAAAATACAAAATGTGTGTCGGTGTGTACACACCAAATTGCCATTATTGCGCTTATGAGAAGAATCCTCCAGCCCAAATGCGGTCTGAATGAATAGGCTTTGTTATTCACTCCACACGCCACCTCAGTATCAGCCCTATTAATTCGAAAACAATATAGGTATGTACAGGGTCTTCACATATATTTAGAACCCCCCCTCAACTATTTCATTTATTATCGAATTTTTTTTTCAAAAAACATTCGTTTATGATTTTTCCTGTAGATTTTGAATATGTTAACAGAAAAACAATTGATTATCTCAAAAAAAGTTATGGGTAAGATGTATAAATTTTTAAATGGAACACCCTCTATTTTATTGCAGTTTTAAATTCTCTCTGAAGAGCTGATTTCATCGATCTATCATAGTTGGCACCTCGGTTGGCACCTAGTGGGGTGTGAAAATTTAGATTTTTTTCAACTGTTTGTGTCGAAACTATTCATTACTTGCTAAAACGGTTTTCATGTCCCTATCTTAACTTTAGATTCACTATCTACTAACATTCAATTGAAACACAGGCTATGTCAAGTCAGTCGTTCAACCACAGTGGTGATACCAAAATGGTCAATGTTTGACTCGACTCCCATCGGGCTAATCATGGTCTCATTCGATTCAGCGTGTCATTTTCTACTGGGAAAGCAATAATTCGCGTGAATTTCTGCCGTTTCCTGGCACTTTCGGCCGTCCGAAGATAGCTCGGTGACTATATCGTAGGTACTGAAGTCCCAGGTGGGAAATTCGGCCTATTAAAAATCTGAAAAAATTCAAATAGACTAATTCAATGTCGAAATTGACGAATCTGTGGTGAAAATTAGTAAATTTTGGATAATTGAGATGTGGTAGCCTCTACCAGAGTGCACCTATAGGCAATGGAAACGGAAAGCTGACTTTGGGAACCGATATCTCAAAAACTATCTGTCCTATCGAGCTGATCATGGTCCCATTCGATTTATCGTGTCATTTTCTACTGGAAAAACGATAATGTGCGTGAATTTTCGCCGTTTTCTGGCACTTTCGGCCGTCCGAAGATAGCTCGGTGACTATATCGTACTGAAGTCCCAGGTGGGAATATGAAAATTTTTATTCGGCCTATTAAAAATCTGAAAAAATTCAAATATACTAATTCAATGTCGAAATGGACGAATCTGTGGTGAAAATTAGTAAATTTTGGATAATTGAGATGTGGTAGCCTCTACCGGAGTGCACCTATAGGCAATGGAAACGGAAAGCTGACTTTGGGAACCGATATCTCAAAAACTATCTGTCCTATCGAGTGATCATGGTCCCATTCGATTTATCGTGTCATTTTCTACTGGAAAAACGATAATGTGCGTGAATTTTCGCCGTTTTCTGGCACTTTCGGCCGTCCGAAGATAGCTCGGCGACTATATCGTACTGAAGTCCCAGGTGGGAATATGAAAATTTTTATTCGGCCTATTAAAAATCTGAAAAAATTCAAATATACTAATTCAATGTCGAAATGGACGAATCTGTGGTGAAAATTAGTAAATTTTGGATAATTGAGATGTGGTAGCCTCTACCGGAGTGCACCTATAGGCAATGGAAACGGAAAGCTGACTTTGGGAACCGATATCTCAAAAACTATCTGTCCTATCGAGTGATCATGGTCCCATTCGATTTATCGTGTCATTTTCTACTGGAAAAACGATAATGTGCGTGAATTTTCGCCGTTTTCTGGCACTTTCGGCCGTCCGAAGATAGCTCGGCGACCGAGTCGGCGACTAAATCGTACTGAAGTCTCAGGTAGGAAAATTTTAATTTGGCCAATTAAAAATCTGAAAACATTCAAATGGACTTATTCGATGTCGGAATGAACGTATCTGTGGTGGAAATTAGGAAATTTTGGCAAATGGAGACGTAGTTGCCACCGGAGTGCACCTATTGGCAAATGAAATCGGAAAGCTGCCTTTGAGCGCCGATATCTCGAAAACTATCTGTCCTATCGGGCTGATCATGGTCTCATTCGATTCAGCGTGTCATTTTCTACTGGAAAAGCGATAATTCGCGTGGATTTTTGCCGTTTCTAGCACTTTCGGCCGTCCGAAGTTAGCTCGGTGACTATATCGTACTGAAGTCCCAGGTGGGAAAATGAAAATTTTTATTCGGCCTATTAAAAATCTATAAAGATTCAAATAGACTAATTCAATGTCGAAATAGACGAATCTGTGGTGAAAATTAGTAAATTTTGGATAATTGAGATGTGTTAGCCTCTACCGGAGTGAACCTATAGGCAATGGAAGCGGGCGCCGATATCTCAAAAAAAACTATCTGTCCTATCGAGCTGATCATGGTCCCATTCGATTTATCGTGTCATTTTCTACTGGAAAAATGATAATGTGCGTGAATTTTCGCCGTTTTCTGTCACTTTCGGCCGTCCGAAGATAGCTCGGTGACTAAATCGTACTGAAGTCTCAGGTAGGAAAATGAAAATTTTAATTTGGCCAATTGAAAATCTGAAAACATTCAAATAGACTTATTCGATGTCGGAATGAACGAATCTGTGGTGGGAATTAGGAAATTTTGGGAAATGGAGACGTAGTTGCCTACCGGAGTGCACCTATTGGCAATGAAATCGGCAAGCTGATGCCTTTGAGCGCCGATATCTCGAAAACTATCTGTCCTATCGGGCTGATCATGGTCTCATTCGATTCAGCGTGTCATTTTCTACTGGAAAAGCAATAACTCGCGTGAATTTCTGCCGTTTTCTGGCACTTTCGGCCGTCCGATATTCCCAAACAGCTGGTTGGTCAGACTGATGGTCATACTTCAAACTGAACGTATGTGCCCGGTCAAACCACAGACTTGACACAGTCACATACAGAATGATCAGAATTCTGGAATTTGAACCACCCTGTATTCGTTTCAATTAAATGCCAGTAGATGATAAATCAAGAGTTAAGATAGGGACATGAAAACCGTTTTGGCCAATAAGGAATAGTTTCGACGCAAAAAATTTCTAGAATTTTTCACACCCTATATCTCTGTAATCATTTCAGCTAGACCCCAACTGTGATAGATCGATGAAATAAGCTCTTCAGGGAGAATCTAAAAATGCAATAAAATAAAGGGTGTTACAAATTTATACATCTTGCCCATCTTGCCCATCAACTTTTTTTGAGATGTTCAATTCTGTTTCTGTTAAATTTACAGGAAAAATTATAAAAGACTGTTCTTTGGAAAAAAAATTCGATGATAAATAATATAGTTAAGGGGGGTTCCGAGGGGGGTTCAAAATATACGTGAAGACCCTGTACCTATGTATTGAATCTTAAGTCTACGGAATTTAGAATTCACAATCATAACTTGCTGATTATTATATGATTCGATAAAGGACTTGTGAGATCGAGTATAGGTAATTATTTTTTTTTTAAATTTGAGCACAGGATAAGTTTTAGGAAAGTGAACATTATTTGGCCCAGAGTTAATAAGTTATAAGATCATTTCATTCCTCGCTCTATAGTGAGAGAAATACAGGGTGTTTCCTAACTACGGTTCCACCTGCAGGTGGTGATTCGTTAGGTCATTTTAGGAAGAAAAGTTCTTCTTAACATATGTCCGGAGTTGCTTCGTTTCTGAGATACAGGGCGTTGAAATTAAAGAAAAAAAACCGTAATTATAAAATATCATGAATATCCTAGAACCGATTTGGTTGAAATTTGGTACTTTCATTTGAACTAATAAGGCGCTTATTCAGCCCTATTTAGATTGAAATTATTGGGGCCAGTTGCGTCTCAATGGGCACCACAGCCATCAATATTGTGAAAAAAAAGTACGCCACTGTCT